TCAAAAGGTCCATGTTCATAACATCCATCGTTTTCTCAATCCAATTTCCTATTGTTGCTGTTTCTGCTATTTTCCAAAGCCGTGCTATGCATATTCTAGCTGCTGTTGTAAGATAAAATAAAATTTTGTCCTCATTTTTGCTCAATTGGAAATCTGTGATGCCCAATAAAAAATATTCCGGTTTGAACTCAAACTTTAAGTGCAAAATTTCTTCTATTTTTTTGTATATTTCAAATTGTGAGCTATCTCAATCCCCACCTTCATCTCTCCTTTTTAAAAATGTCTTAATCTGATGAGGAAACCTGTAACCTTTGAAAACTAGCACTGAATTTATTTTTAGATATGCTTATAAAGGGATTACCATAATATTGGATTCAGGTATGAACGAGTTACTTTAGAGCAGTGGTTCTCAACCTTCCTAATACCGTGACCCCTTAATACAGTTCCTCATGTTGTGGTGACCCCCAACCATAAAATTAGTTTTGTTGCTACTTCACAACTATAATTTTGCTACTGTTATGAATCGTAATGTAAATATCTGATATGCAAGATATATTTTCATTCACTGGACCAAATTTGGCACCAATACCCAATACGCCCAAATTTGAATACTGGTGGGGTTGGACAGGGATTGATTTTGTCATTTGGGAGTTGTAGGTGCTGGGATTTATAGTTCACCTAAAATCAAAGAGCCTTCTGAACTCCACCAATGATGGAATTGACTCAGACTTGGCACACAGAATTCCCATGACCAAAAGAAAATACAGGGAAGGTCTGGTGGACATTGACCTTGAGTTTTTGGAGTTGTAGTTCACCTACATCCAGAGAACACTGTGGACTCGAGCAATAATGGATCTGGATCAAATTTGGCACAAATACTCAATATGCCCAAATGTGAACACTGGTAGAGTTTGGAGAAAATAGACCTTGCCATTTGGGAGTTGTAGTTGTTGGGATTTATAGTTCACCCACAATGAAATAGCATTCTGAACCCCACCGATAGAATTGGACCAAACTTTCAACACAGAACCCCTATGGCTAACAGAAAATACTATGTTTTCTGATGGTCTTTGGTGACCCCTCTGACACCCCCTCGTGACCCCCATAGGGGTCCCGACCCCCAGGTTGAGAAACACTGCTTTAGAGTCTATTTAGGTACAAAATGATTGTATAGATGTATATTTTAATGTTATTCACTGTAAGAAAATCCCATATATGATACATGGATTAAATGGAATCTTTAAACACAATTATCCGCTTTTAGGATGGAGAAGAGTGTACTATAAATTCCACAAGGAAGCCACAGCAGTCAAGGAAGAGAGAGATCTATGGCAGAAGCAGATGAGAGCCACTTAAAAACAAAGAATTATTTTTTACAGAGAAACACAATTACAGTTAAATTCTTTAACATATAGTTGATATATTTAATTTTAAAGAAATAGGATTTGTTTTTGTTGTAAATTACAGTCAAATTGACTTCAGTTCTGTTAACTCTGTGACTGACTGACCTGTAAGACATTCCGTTACCAGAAATCTAGACCAAGTTCTGCAGAGTTAAGGCTAAGTCTATTCCCAGTAACATAGTTTTCCTCTTTTCCTACTGCCTTCCTCTTTATCATTTTTTACAGTGACTGACATTTGCTTATGACATGTTCCAAGTACAACAGCCTCAGTTTAGCCATTTTGGCTTCTAGTGGGAGTTCAAGGTTGATTTGCTCTAGGAGCAATTCATTGGTGGTCTTGAAAGTCTATTTTATCTGTAGAACTCTCTTCCAGGACTACATTTTAAATGAATTGATTTTCTTCCTGTCAGCTTTCCTTAGTATCCAGCTTTCACAGTCATATACAGAAATCAGAAATATAACAGCCTGGATGATCCTGATAGTGGTCTTCAACAATATATCTTTACACTTGAGGATTTTATCTGATTCCTTCATAATTTCCCTTTCAAGTCCTAGTCTTCTGATTTCTTGACTACAGTCTTTATTTTAATTTATGATTGACCCAAAGTACAGAAAACATTTTACAATTTTGTTGCCTATACCTATATCATCTGTGGTTATCATTTTTGTTTTCTTAACATTCAACTGTAACTCAGATTATGCAGTTTCTTCCTTGACTTTCCTCAATAGTAGTTCTAAGTCTTTGTTATTTTCTGCTAAAAGTTTGGCATCCTCTACATATCTTAAATTGCTAATGTTCCTTCTTCCATTTTACATACCTTCTTTTTCTGAATATAATCCAGTTTTCTATCTGATATTTTCTTCATATAAATTACTAGCCTTTTGTCCTGACTAAAGGTTGTGCAACAGAATGAAATGTTTACATAATAAAATACTTTGCTATAATTTGCAGGTTGATTTTCTTCTAAAATTCTTTGGTACATTCCATTATCCAGTGTATGTTTGCAATATGATCCCTAGATCCTCTTCCTTTCTGAACCTAAGTTTGTTGTTTGGCCTGCCTTGCTCTATAAATGATAAAATTGTAGTAAAATTTTGAGCATCAACTTGCTTTTATAGGAAATTAATGCAATAGGACTTAGAAATGAGAGCTAATTAATTGTGGAGATATGTTACTTGTAAGCTGATACCCCATTATAGAGTTAACTCATTATAGTAATAGCTTACATAAAATAGGTTGCAAACGGGGTCCATGATAATGCTTGGGTTTTCATTTATGGAGCCTATGAATTACTACTTGGTTTGATGTTTAATGCCAATAGTAGCATGTTGTTGCATTTTTATCAAAGTGGATAAAGAAGTTGAGTGGTCTTGCCCAAGCAGTTAGCTTTTTTTGTGGTTCCCGCTCTACCTTATTGAAGTATTAATGGGAAAAAATAGCAAAAGCTTTGGACACCATAAATATATATGACAAGTGGTGCAGGGCATACTGTGCTCTTTTAATAAAATTATTAGTCATTTAACATTAACTATTCACAATTAAACAAGTGACAATGTTATTTGCCAAGGGACAATATGGCCCTGAAACTCACTATTAATGTTCATAGCCAAACTCTAATTTCCAAAACAGAAATCTGATGGCCAGCTAGAGTTTGGTTCTGATTATTAATGGCTCAATTCTAGAGCCAAAGTGATTCTGAATGTGTGGCAATAATAATCAGATTTTTAGAAATCAGTTTAAAAAAGCGTTCAGTTGTGAGCCTGTGACTGAAATAAGTCAAAGTATCTGCAAAGGTTATTCAGTTTCATTAGCTTTTGAGATAAAAGCTTTGATCCAACAGTTCTGGGAGCAGAATATTTGCACTGGTTGAATGAATTTAATTTTCCTCTGTAATCACTTGTTTGCACCAATTAATTAGGAGATCTAGGATGAAGGGGCATAGTGGAGTGCGAGAAAAGGGAGGTCCCACTTCATGAGTGAAAGCTCATTTGCTCATAGAAGTTACTTCTAAAATGCAATTAAACAACCGGTAGAATTAAGCCCATTGCGGCTAGTTCCTAAAACTCTGTTGGAATAAGAAGCAGTCAATGTATTTATTTTATTTATTTGCCACATTTTTACCCTGCTTTTCTCAACCTCGGAGGGGACTCAATGTGGCTTTACATATAGGCAACTATTTGATGCCTTAAAACAATGTACAATTAAACTAAACATTTTGAACAACAATTTAAAACACATTAAAATTTAAAACATTACATTCACTATTAACCACACTATTAATGGTTCTGGCTCAGCTTACCTGTCTGAACGTATCTCTCCTTATGGACCATCTAGAAGCTTAAGATTGTTTGGGGAGGCCCTACTCTTGATCCCAACTGCATTGCAAGTGCGATTGGTGGGGATGATGGACAGGGCCTTCTCAGTGGTGGCCCCCTGGCTATGGAACTCCCTCCCCAGGGATATTAGATTGTCCCCCTCCCTCCTGACTTTCCGAAAAAAGGTAAAAACTTGGCTCTTTGAGCAAGCTTTTGAGAATACAGTAGAATAGATAACATGAAACTATGAATGATGAACATGGAATAGCTAGATGATGTTACTGGAAAACGATTTTATCAAGATGATATCGGTGACTACTTGTTTTAATCGTTTTTATATATGTTTTTATATTGTTATATTGACTGTTTTTAATTGCACTTTTATGAACCCATGGCATCGAATCGTGTCAATCTGTAACCCGCCTTGAGTCGCCATATGGTTGAGAAAGATGGGCTATAAATGTTGTAAATAAAAAAAATCAAAAAAAAATCTGCAATTGTAATCTGGGCCATTCCAATAATCATTGCACATAATTCAATATCCATCTATTGCACCACAATTGTTGTCTGCAGGCTTGATCCCAAAGCCACGTTTTCACTCTCTTTTGGAAGGTCAGAAGGGAGGGAGCTGATCTAATCCCTGGGGAGGGAATTCCACAGACAAGGGGCTACCACTGAGAAGGCTCTCTCTCTTGTCCTTGCCAGTCACACCTGCGAAGGAGGTAGGACTGAGAGCAGGTCCTCCCCTGACAATCTTAAACTCTGAGATGGTTCATAGGGGGAGATACATTCGGACGGGTAACCTGGGCCGGAACCGTTTAGGGCTTTAACTTTCAATTTTCCTGTGAAATGAAGGAAAGCAAGGAGTGACACATCCTAACCTCCCCAGGGAGGAAAGTGGATAGTTTGGAGGCAGCCTCATAGATCCCTTCTACACAGCTGTATAAAACCCACATTGAATTGGATTGCATGACAGTATAATCCAATTCAGATAATCCAGTTCAAAGAAGATATTGTGTATTATTTACCTTGATATCCTGGGTTATATGGCCAGGTTATGTGAAAGGGTCCATAGTAGGTCTTCTCCAAATAGACCTGTGAAAGTGGTGGAAATGAGAGAAAGGCGTGAAGTTTAAATTTTTTGGTCTGAAAAGAAAAGACAGCTTCCAAGTTCTACTGAATAGCCATATTGTATTTCTCAAAAACAAGTTTACATGCATTTTTTTCAAAGTAAAGGAGTTATGTGCCTGTGACCTTTTCTCTGTCTTTGTTTTTTAATAGACCTGCTAGTTGCTGTCTTGCTGGCTTCTCCTCTGATGACAACTCTCACGGGACACTGTTAGAGAACAGAATCAGCCTGTAACGGGGCCAGGTAACACATTCACCTAAATATTTGAAGGGAGAAGTTTGCCTCACATGCCTTCCCCCAATTATTGTCTTTGTTGCTCCAAGTTGGTGGCATTTCATGTAATATAAAGTAAATGCAAACTGAAAAAGCTTTGCTCAATTTGATAGAATGTTCCAACTGTTCGGAGAAAGCAGCATTATCCCACCTTGTATGTGCACTGTTCTGTAGGTGAGACCTAGCTTAATTTGAGTAATTTTCGGAAATAATGTGGTATGGAAAAACAATTGGTAGACATTATTGTATCCCCATCTGTCGTGGTCACAGGTTGGGAAACCAGCTCATTCTTGAGTATAGATGACTTGTGGAGAAAAACAATTTCACTGTAACTTATTTGCACACTCACTGTGCCAGACTTTGAGGGGGAAAAAAACCCCCTGGATTACAACTCCATTCATTCTTTCTGGAGAATTCTGGGACCATTACTTGAAAAAATAATTTTCAGTGGCACTGATCTTGGTGTCAAATGATAAATTCTGAATTAGAGTAGATGGTTACAAATTACTATACCACTTTTTTGTGTATTAAGCTAACAAGTAGGAATAATGTAGACCTAGCCAATCGGCATTACAGATACATTTCAGACAACATAAAATGAAAATAAATTGTGTTGGGTTTACCCAGGCTAAGAGCAGTCCCTTTAAAATTAATGGGATACAAATTAATCGTGGCCATTCTAATTCCCATTGATTTCAACTGGCCTTTCCAGCTATGACTAAATATGGATATAACTTCTTTTGTACTGCTCACATTTATGAAATAAAAGTGTACTTTTCTTCCCAATTTATAAGACCTGATCATATTCATAGATAGATCAGTTTTTAAAGGAGACTGGAATTTTATATGGAATATTTTAACTGTAGCCTTCCAATTATGATTTTGTAATGGTTGTTGAGTTCAATTTCATTTTGTCTGCCGCTGGCACAAACAAATTTTGGGCTGAAGGCACCATTCTGCAAATTTGAGCTCCATTCACCTCATAGGAGTTTCCTTCTCTGACACAGCTACAATAGAAAAGGAGAGTCAACAAAAAACAATATGGTATCAACAATAACTTTATAATGATGAGGACTCAGGGCAGCTTTCAACATAGTAACAGGCAAACATTTAATGCCTATATAAACAAAAAACCATAACATTTTTAAACAAAAGACAATACTAAACATTGTACAATAAGTTAAAATAAATAGTTGCATTAAATAATTATCATTAAAAGCAATTTAAAAAACAGCTGAAGTAATGTGTTGTATCAGTTTTCCTTCACCTTCTCTCAGGCTTCTCCTATTGACACAGCCTAGAATGGCATTGGTCTTTTCAGCTGCAGCTTACTTACTTACTTTACTTAGGTGATCCCTCATTGGCTGAGTAGGATAGTCTTCCAGGATCAGTATTCTTGTGGGTCCGTAGGTGACTGTGGAGCCTCTGCAGCATCACACTGTTGGCTCATGTTTGGCTTGTGGTCGACTAAGACTCCTTTCATAGACTCCTAGAGTTGGAAGGGACCTCTAAAGGCCATCTAGTCCAACCCCCTTCATTTTGCCTTCATGCAGGGAAAGCACAATCAAAGCACCCCTGAGAGATGGCCACCCAGCCTCATTATTATTATTATCATTATCATTATCATTATTATTATTATTATTATTATTATTATTATTATTATTAATAATAATAATAATAATAATAATAAAGAGAGTAGGAAGAGACCCCTTGGGGCATCTAGTCCAATCCTTGCAGGCAGGCCACTATGACTGAAGGTTCTCCTCTGCTACGTCCTCTGCTTCCTGCATCTGCCAGCGCAGGCTAGTGCAGGTCTCCACAGGCCTCCACAGCCAGCTTCACTTGGCTTCACTTCTGGTGAGGCCACCTCCAGCTGAGTGAAGCAGCTGGTGAGCACTTCTGGTGAGGCTGCCTCCAGCCTCTTTCCTCATGCAGCCTCCTTCCTTCCTGGGCCCAGCGTTCTTTGAATGCTATCCTACTATCCCAACCCTTTCATTTATGGAAGCAACTTTTGCAAAAACCCTGTTTTTAACTTCTGTGAGTTGATGAGTTTTGCAAAGTCAGTAAATGAGAAAGAGAATGTGTCTGAGAAATAAAAACAACTGGGAGGCCAGTCTTCACAATTATACAACAACAGAGCAGTATGTAGTAGAATAAAGAGTAATGCAACAGATTCCCTCTGTAAGTGTAAGAAAAGCTAGAGGTAATTTTGCCATATTTGTTCAAAGTGTTTCCTGTGCATAGTTTCTGAAAGTAAATTAAAAGGAGTAAAATGTAAAATTTGTCTAAGAACAATTTATACAACAGACTACCAGGATTTAAATAAAATGTGCTGATGGTTTGTGATATAAAAGTAATGTAAAAACATTATTGCCTGAGGATAATTTCTATTCCAATCCTATTGTCTGGGGGTTTATTAACATATTATTTAGAAAAGACAGTATATTTTTTGAACAGCACTGAACCATTTATCTCCTGTCCCAGTTCCTCTTTCATGGATGGTCTTTTAAAATAATAGTGAAGTTGTGAGAAAGTAGATACACATTATTTAATCAGAATCTAAAAATGAGACCAATAATGGCAGTATCCAGCAAGTCATTTTAATTTTTATACAACTACAATATGTAATAAAATTTGAAAAAAAAATCTGCTCCTGGTTTGCAAGTGTTAATTGTATGGCACTTACTTTTAAAGTAGTTGTTATACTCCAGACACTTCATTTTTGTGGCTGCCACAAACTATACTAAATTGGTTGAGACTCTATGAGATATTTATTGAAAAACTATAGCAAAATGTGGTGCAGCATGTCCCGCAAAAACAACGTTTTTGCAGTTTGAGAAATCTTTTCCATGTTTTGTGATAGAACCAATCAGGAAATGACATATGTAACCCAGGAACAAGAAGTCGTGTTTCATAGTGTTATTTTTAAAAATACAGAAAAAAGTTTTTACCCAATAAGATTTTTACAATGTGTATTCCTCTGTGTCATATAAGACTGATGAAGTAAATGAATGTTTTCCTTTGTAGATCATTGGTCAGTTTATTGTTTAGAGTAATCTCTGAAGTCTTGATTAGACATGGTATTGTTGCACTTTTATAGTATTCAGCCAGCATAATCTTGGCTAAATAACACAATTTTTAAAAGGAAAATTCACTACCTATAGTGTTTGGGACTACAATATTAAAAGTTAATCTTTTAAAAAGTAGATGGATGAAAACAATTTCAGTCTGATCCCATAAAGATATCAAAAATAAATAAAGAAGCCGTACAATGGAAAATTACTCTGTATGTTGCAAGAATGTACATTCTGTCAGTCCTTGCCAGGATGCTCTGTGGAGAAGGTTGATGGAAGTTACAGTTCATGGCATCCAAAGCGCTATAAGCTAAGCACTTCTGCAATAGTGCACACTGTTGGGGAATTGTTGCATCTGGCTAAAGGCTATATTTTACTCAAATATGTAATTTAACAGAGAAAAAGATAGGCGCAGTAAATCAAAGGCAAAAGTACAATAAATTAAATTGTTTTGTTTTCCAAACACCAATAGGTAATCATTAATAGGAATGATTTATACTGTTTTTAACACTGCATTGTTATTCTGTGCCCTTTCAATTTGAGCAGGAGCTCAGAAACAACAATAAACAAATTACAACAAAGACTATTCATATTATACTCCACTGTTTGGAGTTTGATCTATATAATAATTACCATATCTCATAGCATATTAGTCACACCTTTCCCGCTTTTTTTAAAAAAAAGAGAGATGCGACGAATATGCAAGGGAAAATAAGCCTTTATTTGTTCCGAAACAGTACCTTTGTCATAAAGCAATTTTGAAAACACTCCCCAGCATTTCCTCTACATGTCTTTCTGCTCTGCCCTGTAGAGCTTTGCCTCTTGCTGGCCCCTTTTAGCAAGGGCACCTCACTCATTCACCCATCCACTTGTCTGCCCAAAGACCCCCCTGCCCACTTCCCTCACTTGCCCATCCACTCACTCATGTACTTGCCTATTTATTATTATTATTATTATTATTATTATTATTATTATTATTATTACTATTATATTGATGTTTATTTATATCATGCTTTTTCTCTCCACCATGAAACTTGTCCATGTACGCACTCATTCACTTAATCACTTGAACACCCATCCATCCATTGCACACCCCCTTCCATAAATGCCACTTCAGTTATGGGTTTAAAACTTACAAATATCTCCAAAATAAAATCTCGTTGAGTACTCTACATTCAGATAATCAGAAATCACAAAATATCACCTGTTTTTTTTGTTGAAATTTTAATTCACTACCACTTAACCAAAATATATCTTGGGATAAAATGAAGTAAGCAAAATGGATCTGAAAACAGAACACTGATTTAGAAATAATTTTGTGCAAATAATTAGGTGCAAAATAACGAAGTTGCTTCAAAACCAGGAATGGGCTTTGTGGATCTTTAGACAGGGCTGGAAAGCAGAGTTAAATTCTTGTTTGAAGTCTTGATGAAAGTTTGAAAGACATCTGAAGAAAAAGTGGTAGGATTGATGGATGAAGGATAAGAGGATAAATGGAAACTTTAATTAAATATATGAGCTGCCTCCCCCGGAAAAAAACCTGTTCACAGCATTAATCTGTTCAGTGTTTTGAAACATATGATTGCTGAGCAAATAATTCAGGTGTGAGATACACTCTGCATGTGACACCCCCAACAACTAAGCAGACCCTATAATTTGGATACAAAACAGGTTACAACTTTATTTGGTTATAGTTGTAGATATGGGTGGGCTCATATATGGGTCTAGATCCAAGCATTGATCAATCTGCCAGTTGATCAATGATCCTGCAGATCTGGCCCAGAAGGCATGAGAGGAAGCTACTGGGTTGCCCTAGTCATCCGGTTGTGTGTAGCAAGTATCTGCCCTCTGTTGGGCAAAATTGACTTCTGAATACTAGCTCTGTGTTCCCCAATG